GAGTTGAGAGAAAACATCGTCGTATATTGAACGTTGCAAGAGCCGTACTGTTTCAAGCTAGTCTTCCTATAAAGTTTTGGGGTGAGGCTATTATTACGGCTACTCATCTTATCAATCGCACTCCTTCTTCTGTGCTCAACGGACGTGCTCCTTATGAGGTACTCCATGGAGAATCTCCAGACTACAGTCATCTTAAAGTGTTTGGATGCTTATGTTATGTGCATCTTAAGTTACGAGACAAAAATAAGTTTAGTCCAAGAAGTGCAAGATGTATTTTTGTTGGATATCCTTTAGGTCAAAAGGGTTGGAAAGTTTATGATCTAGAGAAGCAGGAATTTTTAATTTCAAGAGATGTTATTTTTCATGAGACTGAATTTCCGTTTAAGACAGCTCTGATACCATGTTAACTTTGGGTTTATTATGGGCTTCCAACTTAAAACCAATTGGTGATAAGTGAATTGGCCCTAACCCTTTATAAATTACTTAATTACTTCTCCAACTACCGATGTGGGACTTAGTTTCATTCATTAACACTCCCCCTCACGCGCATGTGTGGACAACTGTGGGAACAACATCCACGGAGTGGCCCAGCATCGGGTGGTTCTGATACCATGTAAGATAATATTTTGATGTAAACTTTGTAACTTGCATTATACGGAGCAATTGTTCTTGTTTATATACACGTCTGAGACTCCTAAACCTTAGGGAACAAGGAAACTTAATAGTTATCTATAACTGATATACACAACAATATCTAAGCAGATAATCCCAAACATAACTTGAATGTATATCCTCTCCAATAGTAATCTTTAAACATGAATTAGTTATAATAAAAATCATTCAAAAAGAAGAAGATGTTTTTGAAAAAACAAATTCAAATATATTGTATTATTATCCAAAATAATAGTATTCTTTCTATAAACTATTTTTAATGTATATTTACCGGTTAAATTTTGAGTTTGAAGTAGAACTTTCTGTATTTGTTTATCGCTTTAAAAGAATGGAAATATAATTTAGATTTTTAACTTTTAGGAAATGAATATAAATTTTTATTTTCTGGAAAACAAATCATGTAACAACATTTAATGTTTTGTTGATTTTTTGGATGCATATTAAATTGATAGGTAATTAAACATGTATGTACAGATAAAACACCTAGTTATTATAAATTCTGTTATATTTCAGTGAATGCAACTGAACGATATATAGTCTAAAATCTTAAATTCTACTACGAATAAAAAATAATTAAATTAAATTACACTTTACGCTTTTAACAGATCAGTGTCCTAGTATTTCACTCAAAATTGAGCATTTGCAAATGCGGTTCAATTATCAAAGTTAATAAAAATGGGTTTTTACAACAACAAAAAAGTTAATAAAAAGGTTAATATGTGTATATGGGATGTTGAATACAAATTAGGTTTTGAAAGGTCAAATATGGGAAATAACAAAAAAAAAGAGGTAACTACATTGATTGGTCGTTTATGACAATACCGTTAAACAGTGATAACGACCTTAACCGAATAACCGTGATGTAAATTATGTTTATCTCTCCCCTTTCTATCTTTTTTTTTTTCTCTACTTTTCAAAATTTCCACTTCTCGTAATCAAAGGATAAATCACGAGAAGGAAACAGATGATAAGTTTTGAATCTTTTGATGTTTCCTTTGTCAAACGGCGAGAACAGTTATGTCGGTAGTCACAACAAATACTGTAGGGTAGTCTGGTAGAGCAATATTCACTGTTTCATGACCCATCAATGACGAAGACATTTGTTTTAGATCGAATTTAAATTATACTCCACCGTAGTATTCACTGTGCAGTCGCCAGCCGCTATTGTAAGTTAAGTGTAATCATTTCTCAACCTGTTAATCTGCTTTAAAAAAAAAACTCTGTTAATCTGATTATTCTAAATCAAGTGTTCATACATAATTTCATATATATAACTTATTTTTTTGGGCAAATATACATAACTTATATTTTTTTTCTTATTAAAATACATATTTTTTTATTATTAAAATACATAAATATTGTTACCAAAAAAAAAAAATACATAAATATAGGTATTGAATTTAATGTAGGTTTCAGTTGAAAGGGACTATATAAGTGATCCATCCCTACTAACCACCAACTTCACTGTTGGAATTTATCATTTTGATCATTCGTATATCAATGTAACGTTCGGGCCATTATGGAACTATTATATCTCGAACCTGGCATAACTCACATAACAAATCTAGTCTTGAACCAATTAAGCTACTAAAGATATTGATAATTTGAAGGTTGAAAAATTTGATAATCTAATTAGGGCCGGAAGCAAATGTTTGTATTGCTTATATCCAGGGTCGCTACTGCATGCGGGTTTCCATTCCATACGATGGCCATAGTTCACAAAACTTGTTGATAATCATATATACGTGTTTTTTTTGTACTTGACTTTACGCATACGATACCGTATATCACTTTTCAATATATTTGCATATTCTTCTACTACTACTCGAATATGATTAACTTTTTTGAATTCTTTTTTCTTGACAAATGATAGAGTATAAATGCACTTTGATCATACTTAAATCAATTTTCAAGTCTTTCAATATACAACGCTATATATACCAAAGAATATTTTAAATATTTCAGCATAAATCACCATATTCTAAGAATCAAAACGTTATAATATGTTCAGTTTTAAATCTTTTTTTTCCATTCAAATAACAATCTATATTTACAAATTAATAAGTAGAAATAGAAAGATAGATATAAAGATATATGATCATAATGCTTATATCCTATTTGAATACTCCCTCTGTTTCAAAATATTACATGTTTTAGAAAATAAAACTTTGTTTCAGAAAAATATATATTTTTTTATATTTTCAAAGTATATTTGCAAATTATAATGATTAATTACAACTTTCAAAAAACTTAATTGTACTTATTAGATTCTCATTAGTTTAGATTTATAGAACAATGAAAATCACAATAAATTATGTATTTGTTATGTGTTTTATTAATGTGTAAAAAAATTAATATGTAACAAACTGAAACAAAAGGAGTAGTATAATTTATGGACTCCATATGTCTTTGAGGATTTGTCTCTGGACCTGATCATAGGTTTTGAATAACTTGACTTCATATTAGAAAGAAAAAAACATTACCATTGTGATAATGAGTATAATCATTTTAGGTTTAGTCAGTTTGAACTTTGAAGTATTAAATTTTAGTCTGACTACCGTGTTACGATTGGTCAAAGAGTCGAAATCCAGAACCTTGTAGATAACTAAAAGTTGAAATTTATTTCCTTCAAAATAAACTAAACATTATTTCACTTTAGCTTAATTGCTTTTATCATGTCAAAAGGTCTACTTCCTATCTTTTATTTATGAAGTTTATCCTTAGTTATCAAGCTACATAACAATATCCAAAATTCAACCAATTTACCTACTTTACAGTTTTTTTTAATTAACTTGGATACTTTATGTACTGTTGCATCCCGTAGATTTCATCTTTTGTGAGTTATAAATAATCAACAAAAGCTGTAATGTAGCTCAAATGACAATTAATATTTGATCTTTTCTGTTGCATTTTTTTCCTTCTTTGCGACTAGTATAACTCCCATTCCCATCTGTACATGTACCTTTTCTTGAAGAGATCATTTTGATATTTAATCAAGAAAAAATAACAATTATTATTACCTTTGGAAGAAATCGAAGTCCACAAATGCTTTAAACATTGTATGCAACAAATTAAGAAATACTTTTCAGAAAATAAAATATTACGAAATAAGACAGTGTACGTAGTCAATCCATGTTTTTAATACTCCAAGATGCATGTTTTATATTGATCACATATATTAAGAAAATGTCTTAAATTTGATTATAAATATATTAATGTTTATATTTATCTATTTTCCATAAAGAGTAACCAATCAAAATTTAATAAATGTAATTAACTTTTTTAAAAAAATTCTTATTTATCATATTATAGACATTGAGTTTTTTTTAAACAGATTTTTTTTTGGAAACAATTTTTTTCTAGAATATAGATCATTTTGTGACAAATGGAATATGTGCTAAAGTTATGCTAATTTTTCCAAAAAATCTGGCTCATGATTCCAGTTCTCCGACAAATTTAATTGTTTACGTCATTTATATTTCACATCTGCTCAAAAATAGACGACAAACTCCTTCTAAGATTTGGCTTAATTTATTTGTAAATCTGTACTAGTTAATATACTATTTGAATTTTTGCCAAATATTGCGTTACTTTTTGTGTCCTTATAATTATGATCTTGCCACTTGATATTTCAACCAAAGAGCTTGCACATCTTACTTTTGGTCGATGAGCTTTCACATTATGACTGTAAATATTTACACAAATTAACTGTGAACCGACAAAAAAAATAGCAATGCTTCATTTTAGCTTCTTTTTTTTTTTTAAGTGAAAGAGCGTGGTATTTGGCATATGTATATTCTGTTATTATTATAAAAATTATGTGCGTACGAATTCTATATGAGCCTGCCATTTGGCATATTGTATAGTATTATATTAAATTTTGGTGGCTAGTGGTTACAAACTCTGTATATGAGTTTAATAAAGATAGGGTTCAAATCGATCTGTTGCGTTTTAATTATGATTTGTGGTCATTATGCATGTTTTAGCTAAAAACGATCAATCATATCACATGTTCTGAATATATATATCATTTTTATAACAGTGACATACAAATGATTATACACATACATCAAATGTAAAAGGATCTAAATAAGCAGGAATGTTATTTATTATAAGTTTATAACTAAAGCTTAATAGAATTGCATGCATGAGTTAAACCAAAAGAGGGTCAAATATGAACCCTAGCTAGCTAGACATGTAATTAATGCAGTATATAATAAACATAAATTTGATAATTAAGCTGAAACCCTGATGGATCAACGTTAACGTCTCGCAGGAGATTGTAAATTGGTAATATGAAGCACAAATAATCAACATATATGACTTAGTTATTCATTAATCAAGCTCCTAATAATGGCTGCTTGTGGGCTATTAGGATCAATGGTCTCCAGAAGTTGAGACAATCGATCACTGAGGTCATCCGCTTCTTTGTTCAAGTTTCTTATGTAGTTGCAAGTCTCTTGTAACACTTTCGATGCTGATACCTATATATTTTTAAAAAGGTATATTTCAAATTATATAGCCGAACAAGTTTAGCACGGAATAAATTGTGTCTTAGTTAACATGTCAAAAATCGTGAAGCTTGCTGCTATAGACATATACACTACAATATGCATTGTTACAAATATGAAGCTTAAGATAAATGCTCATCATTTATACAAAATTTAAACAAAAATAAGGCAAGTACTGTAAGGAGGGAGTGACGTGTACTAAAAAGGATGCTTCCATTTACAGAAACTGATTTTTTTTTGGTCAAACAGAGATCCTATAAATAACTTAAGGAACAAGGTTCATCTCCACAGAAACTGATTTGTTTCTTAATTTTTCCGAGGCTCGTCCTTTTCTTGTTTTATAGAAACTAAGATAACTAAATACTCCTAATACAAAAAGATCAAGTTGGTCAACGGTTCAAGTACATAAATGTGTTTAGTTGATAGTCCGTGAAGCAGCAGAGTCGTCTCACATACAATGAATTAATCAATATAAGTAAAATTTAATTATAATTAGTTTAATGCTGAAGTTAGGGGAATTATGTTCCCATCTCCTCAAAGTCCGGTTAATGGTCAAAAGTCTATTAGAAACTTCAAACTACAATCTCCCTCACAAATTTACTATATAGCTATAAAGCATTGCTCCAAAGATGGTGTATGTGAAACTACTCATTAAAAATAGTGTAAATATAATATCATAAGATTCAAACTTACTTCTATAGAAGGTTATACATATATAGTAACTTCTTAAAAGATTTTACCGTGCTAGAACGACGGTTCTGGCGAATCTCTGGAATAGACTGTCGGAGCTTTGAGATAAGATCAGTGATCTGATCATCGCTAATCCTTGATGATGAGCTTGCTTGTCTCGACCTTCTGCTAGACGACATTTTTTATAAAAATTTATAAAGAAATGTATAATATATGTATCTAAGAAAGCAAACTCTCTTTAGATCTCTCTCTCTCTCTCTTTTGTTATCGATTGTGGGTTAGAGAAGAAGTATAATTATTTGTACTTGTCGAAAGAAAGAGAGAATTAAGAAGAGGAAGATGGTGTTATATAGAGGGCTAGGACCACTTCTAGAGAGAGAGAGACATAAAATAATACAATAAATTTAAACAGGGATGTTGGATATGGCGAAGGCAAGGGCACAAGAGACCGCAGTGGTTTGGAATGGAGTCTTGGATACAAGACACGTGAATTACCATACATCAGATTGCGATGCATATATCATCATATTCGTGTAGCTAAGATTAAAATATTTGTCGTTTATGAAAAGGTTAAAAGAAAGTAACCAACATAACGATAATTTGAACCATAAGTTATTATTCTGAATTCCCCTATCTTGAAAATATATAAGACATATATGAGTATGCACCATTATTTTTTAATACTCAACAAAACGATCACAAGAACCCAAATTTTTTTTACTTTCTACTATTGGTAAATCGTCATCTGAAAGTATGTTATAACCATAGAAAACAGAAGTATTGGCAGTGGGTATTCATTTCTGATCTCGGCCAATAAAAGAAAACAACATTAAAATATGGTCACTTGACTTTATATAATATTATACTAGGTGTAAAGTTTGTCTTATAGAGAACGAGAGATGGAGAGAATCAATTATATATTCGATCGATGATACGTAAAACCAAGAAGATTTTGTGTATCAGTTCTAGATATGGGTAAATAAAAACAATGACTTCACCTAGGTCACTTGAGACCACTAGGGAGCATACACTATATGATAATAAACCACTAGGGAGGGGCCGGTCTTATTCCAAGCTCTATCACGTGTGTGGAACTCAATAGATTGTGTATGCTTACGAATTACGATATTTATTTACAAATTACATATGATATACCTAAATAAACTTTATCGCATCACAAACTTCGACCCTTTTCTAAGACGCGTAATTTTAAAACTCGCACTCCTCAACATATGGTTTTGCTAAATATCTAAACGTATGGTGATGGTGATGATATGCAAGAGATATAAATCAAAGATGATGATGATAAGTAGATGCATGTATATATTTAGAAAACAAGGATATGGTGTGATGAACTGTACATAAAAAATGTTTACTGATGAGCACACAAAGGTGGGACTATTTAAGTTTTAATATTTCATAGTTAATTTTGTTGTAAACAAAAACAATTTTTAATCTCCCATGTGGAAACTTTTATCCTACTCGTCAAAAAATTTAAAGGCTTATATATCAACTCAAGGTCTGATGTCAGAACATGTAATTTTTTTTTGTAGATTGTATGGAAGCACAACTTAACGTAAGTTCTTTTTTTTTTTTGAACGACCTTAACGTAAGTTCTAGAATGATAGAGAATATGTCTAGTGAAAATATCATACATGCAGAACTGTTCATTCATTCGATTGTTACATGTCATTGTTCATGAAGTTTTTCATTAATATCACATATGTTGTAGGTAGTTAATATCATTTGTATTAAGAAATTATACGATGATATAATCAACCATTCAACCATTATTCTAGAAAACCTCTCATGTGATGACATGACGCTGTTCCCCTCCTCCCCCCCCCTCCAGTCAGGGAACATCCCCATCCTTCTCACCTTCCTCCCACGTGAATTTTTTTGTATCTCTATCTTTTCTATCTTATGGTAGCGAGCTAAACCTACAAATTATACATAATTAGTTATATATTACAAAACTGTTGTATTACATGATGTGAAATGTGTAAAAACAATATAATTTTTATACAGTTTCAACATCTCAATTCCGTTAATCCAATAGGAGAGTATAAAGGTCTTAGAACATCATTAACGCACAAAAGTGCTTATTTGTTTTTTTTTAATTCTTTTAAAGAAAAAATGAAAAATGGACCAATCGCACACCGCAAACAGAACAAACAACGTTTAAAGAAACACAATAAGCGTGGATGCTTCATTTTTCTGTGGATCCCACATACAAGTATTTTTTTTTTCTAAGCACTCATCAAAAGTTTCCGTATTGATAATGCTCTTAAGAGTTACGACCCTCACCACATATCCATAACTTAAGGCAATAATATTATTCTGGGGGTACAACAAACCAATAAATGTCTTTGTTTTTAATTACTATAAAAATAAGTGCATGCTAGGAATATCGTATATGTATAAGGATAGATCTGGAAGTAATATTTAAACGTATGGTTTTCTTTTTTAACGACAAACGTATGGTTAATTCACGTATCATTCATTAATTTAAAATTAAATGTTTATATACTTGGCACTGTCTCAAGGTTTAGATGATCCTGATTTTTGTTTTAAACTAGTGGTCCGTCCGCGCTGCGCGCGGATTATCGGATATTTGTATTATTTAAAAATTTTAAATTATTTCTTGATTTGTAAAGTAATATTTTTATTGTGTTTTGTTTATGAGAATGATCTATTATGATATCAATGTGATGGCATTAGAGTTAAATGGTGGACATTTAGAAATTATTTTAAAATTCTTGAGTCATAGATATTATTTTTTTGTTTGACAAATTTTATTTTTTTCAGGATCAGAGATAATAGCTATGAGAATATTTTTCATAAAAATTTATTTGAAAACAAAGTCTAACAATTTATTCTAAAAGCAAAACTAAACAGAACCTTTGGAAGAAATTGAAGAGGAACATAAATGTTCAACGTACACTGAGAAACACAACAAATAAATCAAAAGTGGAAGGAGTACGTCATCATGTTAATGGTAAGCACGTTTCCCGTATAGGCCTTCTTTTAGTTAAGGTGATCACTGAAGCCCATTATCCTTTTGTAGAACTCGGTTACCAAAAAGAAGTGGAAACAGTTGGAGCAAACCGTGATCTCCGTCCCCTATTGAGGATGTCAGTTCTGGGGTGGCCACATCTTCTTTAGTGAGGTAAGACATATATCCTTCATGTGAAATTGGAGGTGAAAAATCGCCATACAATCTTCTAGTACTGGAATACCTTGCTCATCAGTGAGTTTGTTAATGTTTTTAACCTCTAAGTCAGTTTCGCCGATGGCCATAAGAAGGACGCCGTAAACGTACCTTCCTCGGAGGTGACCACCATTTGAGGCAATGTGGATGTGATGTAGACCTAGGGACTGATTTCGAGTTTCGAAGAATTCTAGCATGCCTTTAACATAGTGAGCGTCAACATTGTTCGCGTTGAGGCAGTTTTGCACCAACTTTTGTTACCGATGATCTAGAGCAAGCTTCTTCACCAAAGGTGAGAGGTTGAGATCCTTTGCAACAAAGAAGTTCTCAGAACTGAAAGTGAGGGTTTTGGATGTCATAATTGTGTTGAAGTAGTCGGTGGAGGGAGGGGGGTCATAGCCTACTTTGGAAACAATTAGGAGACACATGTCTTCGGGCATAAATTCAAGGGTGAGGTATTATGTTGTTTTCGATTCATGAAACTCATCGGAAAATGATCGAGGTTTTTTTTATTCTAACGCTGTCCTTGTTAGTTTATTTGTGTTGTGCACTTGTTTATATAGGACGTTGGACACGGTTTTGACTGTAACGTCGTTTACGTTTTTAAATATAACTATTGGAAGCCATAATTTTACGTTGAATTTCTTTGCGGTTTGATTGTTATTATTTATGTTGTACCGTTGCATGTATACTGAGTGGTTTGATGTGTAATTTATGGTTATTAAAAATTAACCGACCGGAGTTCCTTATGATTTTGCTTGGTTTTAATATTTATAATATAATTTGAAAGGTAATTTTCTATGTGGGTATCGAATAAACCTTTTTTGGTTTGCTTGACATTAGATAAGTTTGTATTTGTTGCAAACGCCATAGATTTGTGGAATAATTTTAAAATTATTCTGAGGGTTTGATTTACCTTTTTAGGTATTTATTATCATTATCTGAAATATCTAAATAGATGTGTCTCTAACGTAGCATTGAACGCAAAAAAACTTCAAATTGCTTTAATTTTGATATTATAGATGATTTATGCCATTATTTGCTGTGTTTCTGTTTTAACAACAAACTTTTAAAAAAATTTGGGCCTCTACCACACAAAATAGCCAGCCCAACAACAACCACAAACCGACAAACAGAAAACCAATTAAAACCGAAATGGGAGAGATAAATTTTGTTTAGTATATTTGGTTTAGGTTATTGCTGACATGGCTTTTTTTGCCCCCCTCACAAATACTGATGTGGATGCACGAGAAGGGAGAGAAACCTACTTTATTATATAAGATGATAATGTTGATCTAAATTGGAGTGGCGTATATTGTTGATCTTGGGGTGTGACATTTAATTCAGCCTCAAAATCTCTACTATCAATTTTTTTTATATTTTTTTTACAAATAAGGCATAAAGGAAAACATTTGAAAATTACATCTTTCTATGTCTGCTATGATAGAGAGTTAATGTTTACAATTTCACACATTTAACGTGTGTAAATTGTATAGTACAATCATCATAACCAGGCATCACTGGTACAGTCCATAATAGAGTTGCCGTCGGTGCATATTCCCTGAATATGAGAATTATGAGCATGGTTAATCCTTGCCATGCTAAGTGAAACATTCACCATAGATCTTCGAAATTTTTGAAAAAAAATCTATATAGGTTCCAAAAAATATTTTTAGACTCTAAATTCATAAAAAAAAATACATAGAAATAGAAATAGTCATAGTTAGAGTATATCCTGACTATAAACTACGAATGTGAAAACTAGTTACTTTTTAACAATACTTGGTGATACTATGTTATTTTTCTAGACATTACCGATATCCTAAGGCTCAAGGCATTCGACAAAATTACCAAAACTCTGGATAGTGATGTGGCAAGCTCTGAATGGCCAGAACATTGCAGAAGGGTCTTGTTCTGAATCAATATCTAAATCATGATTAGCTTTTATCAGAATCCGAGGACTAATTTAGCATGTCAAATAGCAATTGACTTATGAATCTTATTATCTTAATCATGCCTATCTTTTTGTCTTACACTTTTGATAGATATGATATAAGCACAATCAGCAAGGAGAGGGACGGCTGTTCTAGGAAATGTAGACATTGATTGTGAATGCTTGTCTTCGTCTGTTTGTATTCTAAATGTCACTTGATTATGTACCAGTACTACAATAATTTTTTCTTAACTTTATATTCTTATATGTTGTTTCGAACTACAATCTTAGTTTCTTGTAACCAACGACACAATTCTGTCATAGTAGTATGCAGGGCCGTGCTTGTTAAACAAAATTTAAAGCATTGGCTTAACTAGGGCATCATCTGAAGCAAAATTTATATATATGGCATATATATTTATAGAACTTTATTTTGTATGATCTCTTGAAATATGTTTGTTAAGTTTTTATTTAAACTTAAATCAAAATTACAACTAATACTTTTAATATTTTTTCTACAATCACAATTTGATTCTAAAAACTGATTAACTACAACTAGCCTACATTTATTAATTCATTATTGTACTTCTTCTGCATATGTTATTTTTATATGTTATGAAAACATATGATAGAATCATATTCTTTATGAACTGAAATCACTATTACGATCTTTAGAAGTTTTAATATAATATTATTCTTTATTCTAAAATTGTAAATAATTTTGTGATTGAAAAATATTAGTAAATATAATTTTTATTAAAAATAATATTTTGATTTATTATATTTTCAAGCTAACATTGTAAGAATTATTTTTGAGTAAATTTTCCTATGAAACTTTTAGTTTACAAAAAAAATTGCATTAGTCCTTGCAAAACAATTTTTTTTCACAAAACAATTTGTTCTAAGTTAAATATTTATTTTTGGCCTAGGGCATACAAAACCCTTGTCACGGCTCTGGTAGTATGACATACTTATGACTCCATTTTCTCTGTCTATAATTTGTGTTTGTAGTTCTTATATACTTTCTTATCACTTATGCTAATTCATATCACTAATGAATAACAGTACATGATTTCCCCATCTATATTTCGATGCATAATTTTAACTAACTTATGCAATGAAATTCACTGAGGAAGAAGAATCGAAACACTGTGTTTGGGTATTCTCAACATACTGCATCAGCAGTAGCATTAACATTCTTTCATATTTACTATACACAGAAAGTTTACGTAAAGTCTGGGTGGTGTAGTCGGTTATCACGCTAGTCTCACACACTAGAGGTCCCCGGTTCGAACCCGGGCTCAGACAATCATTTTTCTTTTTTCTTTTGTTATTTAAATTATCCTCCATTGACACGTGACTTCAACAAATGGATACGGGAAATACCCTTTGTATCAATAATTTGTTTCATCGTTTTATTGGGCTTTATATATTACAGGCCTATATATCACCACTCTAATGGACATATTCAAGCTCGTTTTGTTAAACCCGTATAATTTAACTGCACCAACTATTTGAGCATTACGTTGAAATGTTACTATCAAATGAGTGTGATTGCACGACAATTCATATTGTCACGCGGACACAAAATAATTGCTATGCTTTAACAGTATAGTTAACTCCAAATCGTTCGTCAAATATTGTCCAAAGGATATTAATTAACTATGTTAAAATCTGTTAAGATGTATTATTTTCTCCTACCGTATTATTCTCACTTTGTCATCTTAGAAGTTCAATTCCGCAAGCAAAAAAAAGTTTCGTTTTTAATTCTCCTACCTATCAGCCATCGTCTACGTAATTCGGGACGGTTCATATTGCATTTACTAAGTATAATATAGTTCCCTTGTGGTTTACTTGTCAATTTCAAGTTAGTTATCGACAAAAAATCAAGCAATTTATAAAACCTAATTGACGAGAGGGCCTGAAATTACCAAATTCCAAAAACTCCAATTTGTGCTAGTTAGTTTTCTTTTAAAATCCTGTGTTTGGCAGCCTTTAAACTGTGTACATGAAGCAACCCAATAAACCCATAAACAAAACGAAAACTAGATACATTACACAAATAATAATTATTGATAAACTTAACAAAATAACAAAACGTTCCTACTCAACTAGTATAATCGGTCACATCTATTAGTAACGTAAGCTATAGTATTCATAGCTCCCAAGTTAATATAAATGACAACACCAATCTTTATCAAAATCATTATCATCGATCATTGATCAAAAGACAATATGGCTGCTTCGAAGATGATTATCTCTTGTTTCTTCTTCATTCAAGTACTATTGTTGTTGCTCCCTTTCTTTGCTCCAGCCAATGCTCAAGGGTTGAAAGTTGGGTTCTACGACAAGAAATGTCCGAAAGCTGAGGCTATTGTTAAGAAGTCTGTCGCCGATGCGATGAAGAAAGACCCTACAATTGGAGCTCCTTTGCTCAGAATGTTCTTCCACGACTGCTTCGTTCGAGTAATGTTCTTTCTTGATAACCTTAATGTCAAGGCAGCTTATTGATCTAATAAACGGAACCATGATGTTTTAGGGTTGTGATGGGTCGGTCTTGCTAGAGCTAAAGAACAAAAAGGATGAAAAGAATGCACCTCCTAACCTCAGCCTTCGAGGGTTTGAGGTCATAGATAATGTCAAGGCAGCTGTAGAAAAGGAGTGTCCAGGAGTTGTTTCTTGCTCTGATGTCTTGGCTCTTGTCGCTAGAGACGCAGTGGTTGCGGTTAGTATACAATTTTATTTATAATACCAAGTTTGTGGTCTAGTATATATTTGCTCAGCTTCAGGGAATCTTTGTCTATTACAAGTATCACTTTACTAATACATTCTATATATATTCAGCTCGATGGACAGTCGTGGGGAGTTGAAACGGGAAGAAGAGATGGTCGGGTTACAAACATCAATGAGGCCAGATCGAACTTACCATCACCTTTGGATAATATCACTCGGCTTATCACCCAATTTGATTCTAAAGGCCTCGACAAGAAAGACCTCGCCGTGCTATCAGGTATGCTACAGAATTAAAAAAAAAATCATACAAACTATATCAAAACAATGATTCAAATAATTAATACTGCATATTAAACAAGAAAAATATTTGTCATCAAGTCTAATTAATTTTCTGAGTTCACTAGAAAATCTCAAAACTATATTTTTTTCATTTTCATGCTACTTTTGTTCAATTATGGTTGGTTGTTCTATACTTTTTTTGGCCTCTAGAGATTAGTCTTAACTTCGGTAAAATCTCCCATATATATATAATCAGTCTGAATATATATTTATATTTTGATAGGTGGACACACTGTTGGGCAAGGACATTGTCCTCTAATAGCAAACCGGCTGTACAATTTTACCGGAAAAGGAGACCGCGACCCGGACCTAGACACGGAATATGCAGCCAGCCTCAGAATAAAATGCAAGCCCACTGATACAAAGACGGCTCTAGAAATGGATCCAGGAAGTTTCAAAACATTTGATGAAAGCTACTTCAAGCTTGTGTCTCAAAGAAGAGGGTTCTTTCAATCTGATGCAGCTCTTTTAAACAACCAAGAAACTAAGTCTTACGTTCTCAAGCAAATGAAACGTGATGGGTCAACTTTCTTTAAGGATTTTGGTGTCTCTATGGTGAAGATGGGTCGGATTGGGGTTTTAACGGGTAGGGCCGGTGAAGTTCGGAAGAAGTGCAGAATGGTTAACTAAGTAGAGATCTTCTTGTGAGATTTGTGATCATTTGTATTGCAATTGTTGGTGTGTTTTCTTTTGAAAGTTACGTGTGAAAAAAGTGTATCAATTGTCTAAATTGAAAGTAAAATTGTAAAACCAATTATGTCAAGTTTTTTTTGGCATAAAAACTAATATGGAGGAGGTATTTTTTCTTTAATATGAATTACATATCATATAAGTCCCTACATGGATGTTATTTTATATCTTCATTTATTTGGCATTCATCTTAATAATACTGTATATGATACACATATCAAACTTAAAATTTGGTGTTTCTGAATATGCTATAGATTTAGGAAAACACTCAGTATCATGAACATTGTTGTTTTATATCATTAGTGCCAAAAAGTATAATATATTACTTTAACTTTTATAAGGAGTATGATTTTTGACTAGTATTCTTTTCATTAATCAAATCTTATCTCTAATCTAAAGTATATTTTGAATTTAAACTCTAGCTAGTAGGTGGCCCTGATATGGATCTTATTTTTCAGAAAGCTTTAATATCATTTCATATTGGCCGATAAACATACATATTATGATTGTATAACGCCGATATACATACATATTATGATTGATGTTACGCATGCATATACATAGAGAGACAGAGATTTTATATGTAAGCAAAAGTCGAGCATAATGTTTCACGAGCTCATATATATACATTCACGGTTTATATACACATGATATTATGAACCATAAGAAGACTCTCTCTAAAGAATTCTTCCAGAAACAAGACGAACAAAAACAAGATAAAAAAATTAAAACTAAAAAAAAAGAAGACAAATAAATAAAAAAAGAAAACGCAGAGGACAAATCACCCTGCACAAAACAAAATGATCAAACAAAGTTAACAAACGATTAAAATAACATAATCATAACCTAAGTATCTGGTTAAATTTGTTGGATCAAACGATCAAGAAATTATAAAGAAACGAACCTTTGATCGAATGGGAATCAGTTAACTGATCTCACTTTACCACTGAGAGGCGAACACGGCAAACTCTGACGTGAGATCATAAACAAACTAACACGACGTGGATGAACATCTCGTCGATTCTCTAAACTCGCGGCCTTGGCTTCGACAACAACACAAAGATCCTCCTCTCTTATCTTCAAAACCTGGCTGTGTACTCTCTCTTTACCCGTCTTCCCCGTGATCGTACCAGCTGCTCCCCAACGGCCGACGGATCTTGGAGACTCAGTCTCGGCTTCAGATGATCCGCTGCTCTCTGTTTCAACCTCTTCCACCATCTTCCTAGCTACCGCTTCCATCTCCGACCAAGCTTCAGCTTCTCGTTTCGTCGTCATCGTCTTTTGAAAACAGAGGTTCGAAGAGGAGAAAATTCGAATTTGAAAATTATTGTGAAAGATATGTGAAAGAGAGCTTCATAATTTATATACACAGGGATGTGTCGGTATTGATGACGTCATTAAAGATTTAAACCATAGAAGGCTTGACACGTGGAGAGTTAGCTGAGCCGGTCGGAGAGAGAAATGACGTGGACCGGATCTCTCTCTCTCTCTCTCGCTCTCTGTCTGTTGTGTTGTTTGACCAGATGAAATGAGACGTGTGGAAGAAGAGGAAATAGGATCTGAAAACGACCAGATCCGAAGCCGTTTTGTTCGGCATTTTTCCAACACTAGTTCGATAATAATCCCTCTTGGATTTTGTTTTAAGACCTAACTTTTTTCTCAGCACCATGTTTTTTTTTTTCTTTTGGGTACAGATGTATGTTATTTTCTCATATTTTTATTTATTGGTATCAGATATTTGCATCTCATACCATTTTTTGTGCATCTCATATCATCAAATAAAGTTTTGTGGTCATTAGATTTTTAAAAGAAACAAGAAAATCTATGTTATATAAGTTATAATACTGAAACAGGTTGTTCTTGCATAGATGAACTGGAAGCTTTTGATTTACTTTTTAGATTTTGAAAATGTTTACCAGCCTTTTTATACTTTATTTGCAGTATTGATGTAGTTACTGTAATGGTCGAATGATTGGTATAGAAAGGTAATGGTCAAACCATATCCATCGGCAGATATTCAAAATTATATAATACACAAAAATCAGAAGGACGAAGATTAAAGGCTTAATACGTGGAGAAATGGGATTGTCTCATGGCTCACATCGAAAAATTAGTGAAACTACTATCTTCATTTACGTGTCTGAATAACCGACAGTTGCTTGAATCTTCAAGTAGATAAACAACTTACGTATGTTAGTTATATTTAAATAGTTTTACTATGGTGAGATGGTTTCATCGTGGTTCACAAGAAACACGAGTGTTCAAAAAACACCGAGTGGACCATAAACAAGTAAACTGTGCATAGTTTTATAATCACGGACGGTTGTATCACTAAGAATTTAAGAATTAAAATTTCGAATTAATAAAATATACAAATGTTAACAGGTTTAAGGATACCATCTCAAATAATGCAAGAAGCAAGAACCCTTGTGAGGTGTTCAAGATTCGGGCTTCGCATAATTAAGCCCATTATACCTTCCTTACTACCAGATTATATGTATTGCAAAAAGATGATATCATTCTTTTGGTTCTCGCATAGCATAATTTAAGAAATGTTCAACACACTCTTATGAAAAAAAAGAACAGAAAAAGAAACCACGAAACAATCCTCTGAAAAATGAAAACGAAGTTCAAGACTACAAAATATCAAAAAGCAGAATGCTTCATAGCTAAAAGATTGCTTCATAGCAGATTACTCTTCATCATCACCGTCAGCGTCGCCACCTGAGGCTTTCTTGGACGCAGACTTCTCGTTCCTTCTCTTCACTCTTCCTGGACGGCCACCACCGAAGGGACTGGTCAACGCAAAGTCGATATGTTTCTGTGAATCAAGTCTCACCATGAACGATGGGATGTTCACCAATTGCTTCCCAACCCTATTACAAATTTAAATTAAAAATAAATATGAGTAATCAAATCAAACCAGTGCCAAAAATATTTAAATAGCTTCAACTTAAAAACCCGACAAGACAACTAAATCTGATTTTCCGACAAGTTTCGTGGACCAAACAGACAATCTGAAATGTAATAACTAAAAGCGAAAGAAATGCTAATTTAAACCAAATACCTGATATGCCTCTGCCTAATGAGAACACGAGAGTGATGAATCGACTTAGCCATACCAGACTTAAACACAATAGTCTGAAGACGACGCTCAAGAAAATTCTCAACAGTCAAAGCCAAGACGTAATCGAGCTTGTTCTGACTCTCATCAAGAAGACCATAACGGTTCATCTTACGTAGAAGAGCCTCACCTTCAAAGATCCTCTTGGGATTCTTCTCATCAAGAGTCAAAAGATCCCTAGCAGCGTTACGGATACGGCTAAGTGAGTACTGAACTCTCCAGAGCTCACGCTTGTTACGGAGACCGTACTCACCAACGAGCTTCAGCTCAGAGTCAAGACGCTCCTTCTCGAAAGGACGACGTGGGCCCTTGAATGTCTTTCCATCTATATATTACACAACACACACAAAGATTATTGGAAACAGTGTAAAGATCTAATGCTAATGTCTCATTTGTGAGAAACTGGATTTAGTCTTATAAGCTACCGATTCACAAAGACGATGATATGGTAATCCTATGCAGATCGATGAACTAGAGGGTGGAGGAAGGTGGAGACTTACAGTTACGGTAGTAGCAAACGTGCACCATGTTTTGGTGTTCTTAGTGAGAAGCGGCGGGTCTTGAAAGCTAGGGCACGTAGAGAGGTATGAAGGAGACGAGTTCAAGCTTTATATGGTTGTTTAAAACCCTAAGTGAGTCTCGTGGCTTTACTGGGCCTTTATGGATTTATGGGCCTGTTGTAATTGTGTATGAGTCTGTTGGGCTTTGTCCACGTATGATGCATTCATATGATTTTGTTAGTAAGTTTTAGTTGTCAGCTTAGAGGATGAGTCTATAGTGGATCAACTTGTCTGAACTCAAATAAAATCTGTTTTTCTACTTTCATTTGTGGGAAATCGTACCAAACGATGTCACTTTACATAATTGTGAGGGTTAGATTAGCATTAAGAAATTTTGGAAACTGAAAATTGTTAGATTTTTATAGATGTTTTAGAAGAGAAAACTAAAATAATTAGCCACTAAAACGCTGCCGTTATCTTCTTCCAAACAATGGACACATTCGTTGGAATACTATAATTTAGTCTTGCAACTTTAAACCGAACCGAGCCGAACCAAAATTTTTGGTTTTCGGTTCAATTTCGGTTTTGAATTCGGTTTATTTCGGTATGATTCTGAAAAGTAATTCGGTTTTCTGTTCGATTCCGTTTTTGATTTTCAAAACTAAAAATAAAAATAAAAATAAAATATCGAAAATATCTGAAAATAATCAAAACCGAACTGAATTAAACTGAAAAAAACAAAAATATCTGAACTTAACCGAAATAACCAAAATTATCCAAAAATATCCAATTTGTTTTGGAAAATTATACCGGAATTAACCGAAAACGTTATTTACGAAAATAATTTTGAAAACCGAAACTAACCGATAACTGAACCGTACCGAACCGAACCAAAACTTAATATGGTTAATTTCGGAATAGGTTTCAAAATTTTGGGTTAACCGAAAATCGACGGCTTGGTTTGGGTTCGGAAAACCGAAGTCGCATGCCTACTATAATTCAATATCAAAGGAATTATAGAGATCTAAACGTCTCGGTTTCTAACACTACAAGAAAACACGGCGATTCTGAGGAAAATTTTCGTCGGTATGTCGTCGGAATTAAAGAATTCCGTGGACATACCGACGACTTCGGTCGTCGGAAATTTCTCCTCGGAATTTCACATCTCCTCAGAATTTCCTCGGAAATTTCCGAGGAAATTCTGAGGAACGAATATTCCGTCGGAAAATTCCGAGGAATGGGTTTCGTCGGAAATTTCCGAGGAAGGTGTCCGTCGGAATTTTCCGAGGAAGTTGGTCGTCGGAAAATTCCGAGGACAAGACTTCCTCGGAATATTCCGATGAAACATGTCCTTGGAAATTTCCGACGGCCTTCTTCCTCGGAAAATTCCGACGGCCTTCTTCCTCGGAAAATTCCGACGAACTGGTTTCCTCGGAATTTCCTAAAATATGATTTTTTAGCAGAATTATAAATTATTATTTTTTAATTAAAATTCAAAAATACAAAATAAAATTTAAAATTGAAAATATATTAAATAAAAGTAGAGTTTTACAAATAAAAAAAAAACATTCAGAGTTTTCGAAAAAAAAAAACATTCAGAGTTTTCGAAAAAAAAAAACATTCAGAGTTTTCGAAAAAAAAAAACTACGGGAGCTGCTCGTTCGGGTACATCCTCCTCATCATCTCCATCATGCGCTCGTTAACCCTCCTCGTTTCCTCCCATCCCCTTTCTTGTTCCGCCATCTTCGCTTCCAACGCAGCTATGCGGTTATCCTTGTCCTGCAGCTGCCCGAGGCCGGCTTCCCGAAGCACCAGAACCTCGTGCAACGGAACGACGAAGTCGAGATCGACTCTGATCACCAGTAGACCTATAAGTTAAAAAAAAAGATTTAGAAATAGTTTTAATGACATTAAAATATAAAATTAGGTTTTAATCACAATTTTTTTTAAAAAAAAACTTGTAATAATTTAGAATTTCATCACAAAAAGAATTCATAAAATATTAAAAATAACTTTATTAATTTAAAAAATAGTTTTAAATCACAAAAAACCTTTTAATAAATAGGAAAATACTTGATTAATTTAAAAAATAGTTTTAAATCACAAAAAACCTTTTCATAAATAGGAAAATACTTTATTAATTTAAAAAATAGTTTTAAATCACAAAAAACCTTTTCATAAATAGGAAAATACTTTATTAATTTAAAAAATAGTTTTAAATCAACAAAAAACCTTTTAATAAATAGAAAAATACTTTATTAATTAAAAAATAGTTTTAAATCACAAAAAAATTTATAATTTCCGAAAATTAAAATTTAAGAAAATTAAAACTTATTAATTTCCGAAAATTAAAATTTATAAATCAACAACAACAACAACAACAACACAATCAACACAAAAACCAACTAATTCCCCTATTTACCAATCACCCTAACAAAATCACAATCTAAAACATCTAAAATCCTTAAAACTAACTTCAAATCCTAATCTAAACAACTAAGGATGATGGGGATTAAGGACTTACATGATTTGGAATGAAATAGGGGAGATTTCGCGGCGAAAATCGAGAGAGAGAGGGGCAGTTTTCGTCGGCGGCCGAGAGGGAGAGGAAGAGAAGAGAAGATAAATGGGGAAGAAGAACTCTCTAGGGTTAATAAACCAAAAATTCCGACGGAAAAGGGTTCCTCGGA